GATTTCCTTGTCTATTTCAACCTCCTTCTGTTTTTCTGCTGCCTCCTCGCTCATTGTTATATGTTCCACGTCGTACAAATCGATAAATTCTCATATTTACATGACCAAATAATGTGTTGTTGTCGTTAAATAACTCGTTAAATATTTAAATTACCGTTCGATTTTTTGTTCAATCCTTGTCACGGCACCACTTATATACCGAACTTCTCTTGTTAAATTGTTAACAGGTATACAACCACAGAAATCACAAAGACAAATTACATTTATTTGTATAAAAATATAGAATTCTCACGCTCACAAATCACTTGTTTTGTTTTGTCTCGTCTCACATAATCTAATAATAAACGACCCCCCATCAACATGCTCTTAATGTTTCTTTTATGCAAACGTCAATCATGCTTACGTCACTTATATGGGGGGGTCCACTATTCCGTACAATAATACATACACAAGCTAGGCTGGACACACTCTGTGACAACATCACAAACATTTATTCACAGTTGTTTTGATACTGACATGAAGATTTTATTTCATTTTGCAGCTGTGAAAATCATGAAAGGCAAAGACAAGACCAAGTTTAAAGTGAGGTGCAGTCGTTATTTATACACCCTGGTTATCAAGGATAAAGAAAAGGCTGACAAACTGAAGCAATCTTTACCTCCTGGTAAATATGAGTTTGTGATCTGTTCATTTATTAACCCATTGAGTGGCAGCACTTTCCACTTGACGAGTAAAATCATCTGGCAGTAGGCAGGTTTGATTTGCTGCGCCGTTTCGTGAGAAATGGAAATTCCACTGCTTGTGTCGTACCACGAACCCGCGCGTCTGAGTTGGAACCTGGGGCCATATATTTTCTAAGGGCTGTAGAGTTTATTATTTTGAATTTTTTCACAGTTGCCATGAGGGCAAATATCCCTACGCAGTTAACAAAATTAGCAGACTGGTGTCAGTGGTGTGTTCTAATGCACCCTACTTTCTTTATATTACTCTGTTTAACGTCGGTCTACTCATCAAGGAAATACAAGCTTTGCTTTGACTATAAAATTTGGGATTTGTTTTATTTAAATTTTTTCCCAATTGTTGGCTGGAGATGGATTTTTGTTCTAATTTGGTGTTTTATCTTTTAGGACTGGACGTTAAAGAGTTGAAGAACTGAATGTATAAATGATAAGTTGAAATAAATTTTCAAAATGTTTCTGTTGTTATGTGTGGTTTTATTTTAGAACTACTATCTAACCAGAGATGAACAACTTATGAAGTATGGCCAGAGAGAACACTCTACGTGAATATCTAGTCTTTTCCAAGACTAGATATGCGAAAAGCAACGCACTTACTATCTTTCCCCTGTTTCACCACCCACCCATCCCCCTTTTTATTAGTTCTGAAGCACTGCCCCCACCCTCCTGAACTCTTTCAGTATGCCTCATCAGTTTGTCCGTTTTGGTACTATACATGTTTAAATGTAAATATTTTCTCCCTTGTATGGGTTTTCATAAATTATGTTTTCTGTCATTGAAAACATGACAACACCCACAGAAAATTGCATAAGGTTTGTATATAGTATCTAAAAAATTTCACCAATATTTTGGAAATAAACTCAAAGTGTAACAAAAGTATTTATTTGGTGGATTTACACCCTCTGCTATAAATCCACCAAATAAATACTTTTGTATTTTGATTATCCTCCTTTAACATTTTGGGCATTTTTCGACACTTTTGATTTTTCAAAAGTATGGGTTCAGCCACATTTTGGACACTTTTGAATTTGTTAGAAACTTGTAAAAATCGGGTACTATATTACCCTAAAGTTAACTGTTTGGCTATGTCTGAACACTTTTTCAAATAATGGTCGAAATTGGCCAAAAGGCAAAGGCTAGGCACTTTTTGACAAAAAGTAAAGGCTAGTACTTTTTTTGACCACTTTTTCAGCTTTTGAAAATTATGAAAAAATACCAGCCCCAAAATTTGATGAAAAAGTACAGAGTTTAGACTTTATATTTTGTGGAGAAGAAGTTATGGGTTAGGTATGGCAAAAAATGGACGAACCGTTAAAGTGGAAGTCAAGTCCGTTCTGCGCATCGGTTCTGCTCGTAACAATGTGAGGACCTCTTATGTGAACAGTGCCCAAATTTCGAATGTTTCGATTTTTTCTGAACATAAACTCATTTCATATTCATTTAGAAGCATAGCGAACCAAAATGGTGTCAGATACCCAGACAGTACATCATATTTATATAAAAGCAAAATAGAGCAGTTCAAAATGTAAACAAACCGTTTGTTTACATTACAGACTTGACTTCCACTTTATAAAGGGTCAGCCTTTACCTTTGTTGCCAAATTTGGCCACGTTTTGGTAAATGGACGTAGCTTTTACTTCTTTGCCATTTTTGGACACTTTCGACAATCGAAATAATGCCTTGGCAAAAAATTAAAGCTACGTTTACACGCTACGATTTGTCGTGTGCGATTCATATTCTGCCGTATTAAAATGAGCGCTGGCGCCATAATTCATTGCCATTTCGTTAAAAAGAAATTTCAAATGTAGCCAGCTTACTCGTGTTTACTCAATGACATACGCCAGAAAACGAATCGTACACGATTAATCGCAGCGTGTAAATGTAGCTTAAGGGCAAGGGGTTATGTCTCGATCAATTCCATGGTTGCCCATCCCCAACTTTTCAACTGTACTTGTTAATTCACCCGCGAGACGAGAATGAGTTATAAAAAAGAATGAGAATAAAAAAGGATTTGAAGCAATTGAAGGCGAGATGGTCTATAGTGGAAAGGACGAAGTGTTGTGAGTGTGTGAAGCCAGGATTCCTGGTGAAATCGAATATTTTTTTCATATAATTTGGCAAGGCACGATTAGGTAGAAAATACTATCCGAACAATGCAATCATCAGTAGACACGATAGTCTAGCGGACCGTTCATAGCGTCGCATGGATGGAAACAATGGATCAATCCATTCTGACTATAAAGAAATTTTAGTTTGACAGGCTATGTGAGTAGTATCGGCTGGTCACGTGACCCGTGATATTTTGGCGGATTTGCTTTTAGGGGAAAGGATAGTAACCGAGATGTTTTGTTTTGTAATTATACAAGCTGGACAGAAAATAAGGTGAATAAGTTGTGGTTGGCTTCCAACAACGAGCAAGTCGTCTATTGGTAAAGACTACACGCTCGGTAATGTACCATTGTGGTTCAAGTCCTGGAAAAGTCATTTTGTGACTTGAAATGTGTGGAATATTAATTATACAAGCTAGAGAAAAAAGGTTTAGGTGAATTAGTTGCAATATGCTTACAACAACGAGCAAGCGGTCTTGTGTAAAGACTATATGTTGTGTAATGTACCTTTGTGGTTCAAGTCCTGTCGAAGTAGTTTTGTGACTTGAAATGTGTCGGATATTAATTACACAAGCTAGAGAAAAAAGGCTACGGTAAATAAGTTGTAATATGCTTTCATCAACGAGCAAGTGGTCTAGTGGTACAGACTACATGCTGTGTGATGTACCATTGTGGTTCAAGTCCTACAGAAGTCATTTTGTCACTTAATTACACAAGCTAGAGAAAAAAGATTCAGGTGAATAAGTTGCGGTAGGCTTCCAACAACGAGCAAGTGGTCTAGTGGTAGCGATATCGGCCTGTAAAAGGCAATGTCGTGTATCAGGATCGGTTCGAGGACGAATGAAAAATAAAAAAGAAAAAAGATGGCGGACGAAAGAAGAAAAATACAAATGGCGGCTGGGAGAAATGTTTGGAGAAAATACTACCATTGAAATTAATCTTTAGTGGTTACCATGGTGTGGCGCATGCGCGGTAGAATATGACAGCGTGCGGTGGGAAGGCGGGAGGGAAGGAAGAAGGTGAGAAGTCCCCGGGAGGACAGGAAAAAATTTTACTGAGTCTTTGCTTTGCTTTTAGAGCAAGGTACTTTAGGCTTTTTTCTCATTTTTTTTCGGGGAAACAGAACCCCCGAATTTTCGTCTCACTCCGCATACGGCCAGTCAGATCGATCACCTGAGCACGAAGTCTCAGCCGGTCTTAACCGGGCTCGATCCTTCCACCGTAGCACCCGAAGGCTTTGTGTGGCACCTCCGGACTACTAGGTCTAACAGCGAAAGCTTAATGTTTTCTATTGTAGCTAATCCTTTTTCACTACCCTATCAATTAATTCGTACCCCTGACAAAGACAAAAAGGTTCTGGTCAAGGCTGGAAACGATCCGACTTCACCGACATGCGACACTTAGCCGAGATCACTAGACCACCGTGGCTGTTGCTTGTTAGCTGGTACTTTTGATTTTATTTAACCCTTTAAAGCGCTGTTACACTATGCTATTTGTCTCGCAATGTTTATACACTGAATGGCTTCCTACTGTCAATCTAGCGCCAAACGTTAGCACTCGCGGTTTTTATACTATGATCATTGCATGTGACATATTGCTTGGTGTAACATTCTTTCTCTTGACATTTCGAGAAAAGTTCCGAGACAAGTTGCTCAGTGTAACAGCGAAAAGAATGTTGAGCTCAACAGAGAACGAACCATGGCTTCCATGCATACGACAACAGGTTGAGTCCACTACACCATCTTGGCTGTTGGTTTTTCACTTGTACTTTTTGTGTAGAGGTGACAAACCAATAGCCAAGATGTAGTGGACTCAACCTGTTGTGGTATGCTAGGAAGCCAAGGTTCAATCCCTGTTGAGCTCAACATTCCTTTCGCTGTTACACTCGCAAGGCCCCACTAAGCAACTTGTCTCGCAATGTTAAGAAATACGATTTCAGGTTGCAAAGGATGTTACACCAAGCGACATGTCCCATGCAATGATCATAGTATAAAAACCGCGAGTGCTAACGTTTGGCGCTAGATTGACAGTAGGAAGTCATTCATTGTATAAACATTGCGAGACAAAAAGCATAGTGTAACGGCATGTAGTAAAACACTGACTACCGGAACACCGGAACACCACCGGAACACCACCGGAACACCGGAACACCACCTAACCCTAACCCCAACCCTAACCCCCAACCCTAACACTAACCCTAACCCCAAACCCTAATCCTAACCCTAACCCCAAATAAAATGGTGGTGTTCCGGTGTTCCGGTGGTGTTCCGGTGGTGTTCCGGTGGTGTTCCGGTGGTGTTCCGGTGGTGTTCCGGTGGTGTTCCGGTGGTGTTCCGGTGTTCCGGTAGTCAGTGTTTTACTACATGCCTAGTGTAACAGCGCTTTAAAGGTTAAATAAAATCAAAAGTACCAGCTAACAAGCAACAGCCACGGTGGTCTAGTGGTCTCGGCTAAGTGTCGCATGTCGGTGAAGTCAGGATCGTTTCCAGCCTTGAACAGAACCTTTTTGTCTTTGTTAGGGGTACGAAATAATTATAGGGTAGAGAAAAAGGATTAGCTATGATAGAAAACATTAAGCTGTCGCTGTTAGACCTAGTAGTCTAGTGGTACCACTCAAAGCCTGCGGATGCTACGGTGGCAGGATCGAGCCCGATTAAAGACCGGCTGAGACTTCGTGCTCAGGTGATCGATCTGACTGGCCGTATGCGGAGTGAGACGAAAATTCGGGGGTTCTGTTTCCCCGAAAAAAATTGAGAAAAAATCGTAAAGTATCTTGCTCTAAGAGCAAAGCAAAAAGACTTAGTAAATTTTTTCCTGTCCTCCCGGCCCCCTCCCCGGGGGCCTCCCCCTTCTTCCTTCCTTCCCACCGCACGCTTTCATATTCTAAGTCTACCGCGCATGCGCCACAACATGGTAACCACTAAAGATTAATTTCAATGGTAGTATTTTCTCGAAACATTTCCCCCAGCCGCCACTTGTATATTTCTTTGTTCGTCCGCCATCTTTTTTTTCGTCCTCGAGCCGATCCTGATACACGACATTGCCTTTTACAGGCCGATATCGCTACCACTAGACCACTTGCTCGTTGTTGGAAGCCTACCGCAACTTATTCACCTAAACCTTTTTTCTCTAGCTTGTGTAATTAATATTCTATACATTTCAAGTCACAAAATGTAGGACTTGAACCACAACGGTACATCACACAGCATGAAGTCTGTACCACTAGACCACTTGCTCGTTGATGAAAGCATATTGCAATTTATTTACCTTAGCCTTTTTTCTCTAGCTTGTGTAATTAATATCCGACACATTTCAAGTCACAAAATGACTTCTGTAGGACTTGAACCACAATGGTAAATTACACAACGTGTAGTGTTTACCACTAGACCACTTGCTCGTTGTTGGAAAAGCCCACCGCAACTTATTCACCCTATTTTTTGTCTAGCTTGTGTCATTAAAACCATTCAACCATTTTCAAATCACAAAATCACTTCTGTAGGTCTTGAACCACAATGGTACATAAGACAAAAATGGCCAATTTTTAACACTTTTTCAAAAAATTGAAACAATAGTTAAAATGGACAGAGTTACAGAAAGAAAGCCTTTTCTTTTTGGCCATTTTTGGCCACTTTTGGCCACTTTTAAAAAATCGAAATAATTGCTGAACAGGGGAAAACGTAAAGGGGCTAGAAATTGGAAAAAAGGGCAAAATGGACAAAACGTTAAGAGGTTAGCTTTTGTTTTTTTTTTGGCCACGTTTTCGTAAATGGCAAAAAATTGACGAAGGTTAGCCTTTGCCATTTTTGGATACTTTTCAAAAATCGTAATAATGGCCAGGGCCATAGATAGTACGTAGTTGGGTAGACCAAAAATTTCCGAACGTCGAAAATAATTTCCGAATATTTCATGGCATACGAAGCCACGAAGGTGTTTGCTACATTGCTGAAGTCGCAATTTACAAACAAAAATACGCATATTTTACGCACAGACATATTACAGAAGTGTGCAGTGCCGTAGGAAGCTTTTTTTCATTTTTAAATTTTTAAATTTAGAGTCTTTGAAATGCCATTTTGTGAACTTTGGGGGTAGTTTTGACAGAATTCTGATGGTCAGAAAACAGCGTTTTATTATGTCGAAATTTACAATATGCTTACAATTTAGTAGTACTAATTATAAATGGGCGAAGGTGTTAATTAACTATATATTGGAGAAGTTGCAGGAAAGTATGGGTAATATGATTCTTTGCAGTTTGTCATGGATAATGTAGCCGCTTAAAATTAATCAATTGTCAGTATTTTAAAGGTATATGATTTAAATGATAAAGGTCTGCACGATTTTGAAAAAAAGAATGATTATTAGGAAATTATTGGGAGTGTTGCAGCCCCCCAGCCCCGGTTACTGAGTTGCGATTTAGAAGTAATAAATCAAAAAATATTTACCGATTTGTTAAATGTTATCCATGTAAATGCCATGATTTCGTAAATCAGTTTAAACTAACAATACAATTATATTATATTTTCTTTGTTTAACAACTAAAATTTTGCTATACTAAAAAATTATGGCATCAACTATTTCGCTGACGTCAGAATGACATTTCGTCAAAACTTTTTTCTTCAAAATTGGTTTAGAAACAAATTTGGCATAAGGTTAGGTTAGGGTTAGGGTTGGTGTTTGAAGTAGGGTTGGTGTTTGAAGTAGGGTTAGCAGCAAAACCGTTGCTTTGTTACGTTTTGTCACTTTGAGGCCAGCGAAATAATCTCTTTCTACTATTAAAAAAACTCATTAATAATTCATGAAGAAAACACAAAGAAAAATCATGAGCGTGTCGTATCTGTATATGTGATACAGATTCATGTTGATTTACATAAACTTTAACTTTGATTTTCTCGGCTTAGACAGCGTTTATTTTTAAAATTACTTCGCCAATGAACATAAGATTCACCTGTCTTAAAAAAGCAATTTCACGGAAAACTAGATTCTAATAAAATAATATAATAATAGGTTCATTTTAAGACTATGTTTAATGCATGGTACATGGTACGCTTCTCTCATTTCTCTACATTGTCAGTTAAAAACTACATCATAACTTACAAGTTTCGGTGACGAGAATGTGGAACCTTGTCCTGAGCGTCAGGAGCCTTGTCCTGAGCGTCAGGAACCTTGTCCTCAGCGTGAGGAACCTTGTCCTCAGCGCCAGGAACCTTGTCTTCAGCGCCAAGAACCTTGTCTTCAGCGCCAAGAACCTTGTCCTCAGCGCCAGGAACCTCCCGAAAGGCCTCCGAAGTTTTTACTCTTGTGCAATCGAGAGATCATATAAATTTGATTCACTGAAGGGCTCGAATCCGGGTTTTTCATTAATTTAGTTTATTGTACGATCATCCATTTTTTGACGCAAGATAAAATTATTATAACTGTAATTTTTTTGTAACTGTAATACGTCTTTGATAATGGCTGCCGTGTAGGTAGCCGAAACGTCAGAAATAATTAAAAAAAATTAATCTGGATGATCGTACAATAAACTAAATTAATAAATTTGATTATCGCGTATCATGTTTATCAGTTTATTATATTATGCACCTATCATTGTTTTCCCCCTGAGGGGGGGGGGGGTGCGGGCAACCCAGGGGACTTTGACCACACTATGAAGCACCAGGGAGGGGAATTTGACCTATGCATCAACTCCCAGAGTGGGGAAATTTTGACATCCGCCATCTTGAAAGTTTGCGCGGTTTTGACATTAAAAGGCCTGGTAACAAGTATGGCGGAGAAGCACGATCAAGTTTCATCGAAAAAGGTATTTTATAGCCTTTTATACACAGTGTCTCAATTTTTACCAAGTTTAAACCAGTATAGATTGTATGTTCGCATTGGAGAACATATGTGTGCCTTGTTATCTTAGGAATATAGTGGGGAATTTTGACAGCCATTCCTTGCCCAACAGTGGGGATTTTGACGACAAAATTTTAAAAATGTCAAAATTCCCCTGGGTTGCCCGCACCCCCCCCCTCAGGGGGAAAACATTGATAGGTGCATAATAATCACTATAATAATCACAGTTCACGAAACAGGCATCCTTAACTCAATTCGATCCGCCAATATTAATTTCCGACGTATATGACGGGAAGATTAAATATTAAAGAACTTCGCGAGTATTTGCAGTAGACATACGAAAATACCACCAAAAAATTCCGCTTGATCGATACTATATATTCAGAAATATTCATATAATTTTATTGTTTCTCGCTCAA